GAGACTCTACGTGGACGGGACTTTTAGTTTTGCCCCGGATCAATTCGCGCAGGTTTTCGTCATTTTGGCTGACCGTGGAGGGTATGCAATTCCGCTCTGCTACGCCCTCCTTCCAAACAAATCGGAAAACTCGTACCGCCGCATGATCGATCTTGTCATGGGAGCCTTCCCGTCGCTGAACCCAGCTTCGATCGCCATGGATTTCGAGATGGCTGTCATCAACGCTTTCATCGCGGCTTTCCCGAATGCCGAAATTCACGGTTGCTTATTCCATTTGGTCAAAAATGTGAAGAAAAAGCTATCGTCCTTGAATCTTCTGCAACGCTACAATGCAGATTCGAATTTCTCGCTCTGGTCTCGAATGATCCCGGCGATGGCCTTCGTGAGAGAAGATCTCCTTGACAGATCAATGATGGCTCTTCTGGAAGTCTTACCAGAAGAGTTGAAACCCGTCTACACTTACTTCGAGCTTACGTATGTGGGTCGCATACTCAGCGTTCGCTTAGATGGGTCAGTCATCAGGGTACAGTCCGCTCTTCAGCTCCGATATGTGGTCGGTCCATGAAAGGACTCTCAACGGTGAAAGCCGCACCAACAACTTCGCTGAAGCTGCTCATCGAAAACTCCAGGGGGCTTTCGGCGTCTGCCATCCTTCAATCTGGAAGTTCATCGATGGTCTTCGGCATGTGCAGCACAAGGCAGACGCCGAGCTCGAGCGATACAATATAGGATCTGCGCGGGCTCCAGAAAGACGCAGACATCTGAATGCGGACGCCAATTTGCCCTAGTTGGTCCGTACCATCGAGAATCGAGAGCCGGTGGCCTTTCTGCGAGGGATCGCAAACAACTTCCTCATGGACAACTAGAAAAATCTTGTGATTCTAGTGTCTTGATCCACCGTTGCCCTCCCATCTATCATTTCCTTCTTTGTGAAAAATACATATTAAGATAAACTAATCCTCACGGGAGTCTCACTGGAAACCATCCTCCCTTCTTACCAGTTCTCTACCGGTTTGAGAACCTTCCTTGCTTGTGAGAAACATGATAAAATTACGTGAGATGACTTGACCTGGGATCCCTGTGTTTTCCTTTCTCATTGATTATCGCCGAATCATCCTTTGCGCCGAATCATCCTTTGCGCCGAATCATCCTTTGCGCCGAATCATCCTTTGCGCCGAATCATCCTTTGCGCCGAATCGTCTCGCGCCGAATCATCCTTTGCGCCGAATCGTCTCGCGCCGAATCGTCCGCGTTGAATCGTCATGTACCGCTTCATTCATTCCATCATTCTGGGTCCTGGTTCCGGCTTTGGGAGCTTACCATTAATCGTCCCGAACCAGCCGCCTGCCTCCAGAAATGATTGCACCTGGACCTTCCATACCAAGAAATCCTTGTGACCATCGAACTTGGTAACCTGGAGTTTATCCATGGCCTGATCCTTGAAAGTCCAAACGTTTTTCAGCGGAACTCTTCAAATCGGATGCCACCCGGATTTCGTCACCACGTGGTCGATGCACTCACGCACGTTGTTGCACGTAGTCGAAAAAAAAACACTGTTCCTTCTTCGATCCTTAACCACACAGATGTTCAACAACGTCCTGGGCCCATAACCTGTTGCGAGGTTTGAGTCTGTGCTGTATTTGTTAGGATGGGACAAAGGTTGTCGACACACAAAAAGATTGCACGTGCATTCGGTCTGACGTAGCTGAAGCAATTGATGATCTTTCTGATTTATTGACATAATAACACTGTCTGAACCCGAATCTGTCTGCAAGAGTCGTCGGTCGCGCTCTAGTGCTGCGTCGTCTGCAACAGACGGTATTCGTTTTTTGGACTACCCTGATTGATGGCGTGTGCGAATTTCGCGCGTGATAGAATTTGAAATCGTCGTCTCTGTTGGTGAGGTATAAGCCATCCAATGACGTTACTCTACTCAGAGCAACATACACGAGCTGCTGATTTAGAAAAGCCTGATTCGTATCAATCAATCGTTCCACAAATTCCCTATTCTCTCTCATTTCCCGTGTTATCCTTTCGGTTGTCCTCAAACAGCGATACATGTTTTGAATACCGTCTCGGACCCGAAGGCGGAGAATTTTCATGGCCATGTAGAGCACATGCTGAGGCGTCGCTCCGCGACGGTCCCTCCGTCGAATTCCCGACATGCACATAGTGTAGGCACTGGACCGCGCCCCGTTATTCGCATTGATTTGACGGGCGACGCCGAAGTATATGCCGGGGAATGATAACTCCTCGGCGAACTTATCGGAAATGTGGCTTTCAGGCGTACGATCCTGACCAGGAGCAATATCCAAGCATTGTTCCTCGTTCCACATTAGTGTCTGCTGCCTCGCTGTAATCAACTCCGACTCTGGTACGTCGCTTATATTCATGGACTCGATAGCATCCAACGGAACATCTTCGAGTCCTGTGTCCGGGAAAGTGCTCTTGAAAACCGACCTATCGATCGATATATTGTAATGCTTGTACAGAGGTTGCTGCACGAGATAATTCAGCCAAATGCCGACGGTGAATTTCTTCACGAAACCGCTGATGTAAGAAGACTTATGAATGATGTTTTTCTTCAAATTGACGTTGAACGCATAGTCATCATCAAGAGCCCGCGGCAAACACCGCACCATAGTATCGACATCGACCGGCGCATTGATAAATAATCTGACCAACAATGCCATAAGAGCCTTCGTGGCGAAGGCGACGAATCTGCATGAATGGGATACGCGGAGAAATGAGTCTTTCGGTGATTGGGTCGAGTTTAGGTAGATTCGTGGGAACAACAGGGTACGTATACTCGTTACTCTTACTCATGGAAGGAACCTTATTAGTTCGACAAACCTTCGAACAATTGGAGCATAATCTGAACTCTCTCCCCACATGGTCTGGGAAGATGTCTTTCAAAAACATCGCTATCCGAGGGGATACCGTCTTCATGTCGCGCTCGAACCATAAACGATCGCATACGTCGCAAGTATGACCGAACTCATTGTCCACGAATGTACTTTGGAAACGAGCAGTGGCGCGTTGCCACAGTCGAGAGAATTTAGGATCTCTCGTGAATGCTACATCGTCTTGATCTACACTTTCCCGACAAGCCCCGATAGTTCGTCGCCCTGCCGGAGATGACGACCCATCTGAAGCATCAGAATCAGACGAGATACATATGAATGATGGGGCTCCTGCCCCGGTCACCTCGGTGCCCGTATATTGGTCGAGCGCTCGTCTAGGCTGAGCGATTGATGTCTTCGGCCGTTTACGTGCAGCGCCCGATGAAGCATTCGCCCGTCGCTCTCGACGATTCAAACTAGCTCGTTTCGGCCGCGCCATTGATCAAGGAACAACACACAACGGGGCTTCGTTTTCATGTACGACCTACAAGAGCCTAATAAGAGACATATGAGAGCAATGAGACTTCGTCGTTCTGGCTATCTTCAAGGTCGTCACGAAGGCGTCAAATCCGCGATGTTTCTCAAACCCTGAGTAGTGACCATGAAAATTCGATGGTACACCCCAAGAATGTCGATATTTTGTCTCCTATGGAGCTCCAGGATGATCGTAGACCGTCTAACTAGATGTAGAAAAGCCTCAGGAATGCAACGGGACAAGTTTCGGAGCGATCCGAGCAACGGTTGCCGAGATATCCCGGTTTATATTCGCTCCACACGCTCATCCACTGAAATGATATTCTCCGCTGGTTGGCATCGTTTCGGTGCATGGTACAGCGGGAATTCGTTCCATTCCGCATGATATTAGAGCTCGTTGAAGAGATTATTTTTCGGATTTCCAGATGTGTCAGAGGGCTCAGGAAAATAGGTCGCGTGCGCGCCACGAGACAGCGAGCCCAATGAAAGTGAGAAGGATGAAAATGCCGTTCCTGAGCTATAATAAAATACGATTTTGGCACCTGAACGCACGGTGAGACTGGGTTAATAAGCCGTCAAAGTTGGACAACTTCTCAAGGTCGAATGACGAAGTTCATTCGGTCTGTCACCAAGGCAAACTTAAAGACGTTTTCACGTCAAAAACGGGAGATGGTGCTGTACTTCCGACGTCTTTACGCCTTGGGCGTATTCACCGAATAATCAATAAATTTATTTTCGTTCTCACTCTGAGTTGTGATTGAGGTGATTCTTGGGTTGGTGAATGGGGTATCAATGAAGACCTATTGGGGGTTGATCGGGTATAGTTTTTTGATGGGTCGACTGAGGACTTGGCCTGTTGCTGTTTTCACGATGCATGACCTTGCGGAATTGGGGTTCGCATTTTCCGAAAATCCGATTACTCGGCGCAGTGGCCATAGAGCTCTGTTGAATGTTTTCCCTTGCAACAGGCAAATTTCACCGGCTGCTAGGGGCCTAGCCCTTGTTGGTGTTTGTTTGCGCGCCGTTTTCAGATACTCGTCTTGATATCGTTTCCAATATGCGCTGAGCATTCGTTGCTGATATTTCTTGATCGATGCGCTTCTGGGGTTTCGCTTTGTGATCTGAGATGAATGTGCCGCCTCTGTATCCGGATAGAAGATCGGCGGGGGTTAGGGCTTCGATCACATCCGCCCCAGAGGCGACGGTTGTGATTGGTCTGCTGTTAACCATCGTTTCGATACCGCTAATGATTATTTCCAGATCCCTGGAATGCGGAATAGCTGACCCCAGGATCTTGCGTAATGGTCGCTTGATCGCTTGGACTTGACGTTCATAGAAGGCCCCGAACCACGGTGCGCTGGGTGTTATGAATTTCCATTTGATGAAGGCGTCGGCTACGAATTTCCTGACTTGGTCGCTTCGAATATGTTCGTATAGAACTCTGAGCTCTTTGGCCGCTCTCTGGAGGGATAGTTCGTTGTCTGATGTAATTGTACGCACTGCGGAAAAGCGGTTGATGAATTTTTGCAATGCCCCTAGGACTTCTACCGTGGGAAGATCGTATGTTAGTTCCAGATGAATTGCCCTGCTGACGCTGCATGTAAACAAGAGTATGTAGCTTTTTCCCACTTCTACTGATTCTTTCTTGTATCTGAAGGGGCCTGCGAAGTCGCAGCCTGTATTCGTGAACGGTGGGGCTTCCTCGAGGCGGAATGATGGTAGAGGTGGAGTTCGTAGGCTCGCAGCCTCGCCGTGGAAAAGTCTGCAGGTGGCGCATGAATTGATCACCTGTCTTACAATTTTCCTGGCTTGGATTAGCAGGAAGTCTTGACGTAGCATTTGGAGCACTGCGTTCTTCCCCTCTGAGTGGAAACATTGCCTTTCGTGAATGTGTTGGACTATGAGTTTAGACAGATAGCAGCTCCCTGGGAGGATGATGGGGTTCTTTTGAGTCTCGGAGAGGTGTGTTGACCATGTTAGTCGAGACCTGCAATGGATAAGCCCGTCCTCCTCGAGGAATGGGTTGTATAGATAGAGCTGGTTGCTCTTTTTTATGTTCTCGCATTTATTGTCGTATTCTTCCTTGAAGTAGGTTCTTTGAACTAGGCGGAGAAGAGACATTCTTGCTTCGATCATTTCCTCGGCCTCGAATGCGAGTTTTCCGTTGGGGTGCGGATGTCGTCGAAATGTGATGCCCTGGGCTACCCGAGCTTTCGCTTGTTGCGCTTTCCTGGCTAGCCTTTGCATCAGGGCGCAGAATCGGATCGCTTTGATCCATGAGGAGAATTTTTTTATATAACATCGGCACCGATTTTCAAGTTTGGCGGGAGACGAGTGGGGAACTAATCCTGTTGTTTCAGCCAGTAAGGACCCTTGAGCCAGAGATCTCTGTTTGGGTTCGAAGAGATGTCTGCTCCGCGGGGAACGAGGTCGGCTGGATTGTGTTCTGACTGCACGTAGTTCCAATCAGCTTGGCCGAAGAATTCGTCGAATCCTGTTCGCTACGTATGGTTTCCATCGTTCTGGCGAGGAACCCACCCATCCTAACACACTGGAGTTGTCCGAGCACAGGTGAATCGAATCTATTTTGAAGTCAAGTAGATTCTTGAGGGTGTTTATTTGCCTGGCCGAAAGTAGAGCTCCCAGTAGTTCGAGTCTGTGGATTGACATCGGTCTGACCGGACTCATTTTCGCTTTCGCCATTATGAAGTGTGCCCTGGGTGGTGCGTCGCTGAACGTTTCTCGCAGGTAAATGACACAGCCGTAGGCCGAGAGACTTGCGTCCGCGAAAGCGTGTAGCTCTCTGCGCGATTTGAGCTTGCTTGGGGTGAGCATCAATCTTTCTTGTGGGCTTCTTCTAACGGCATGTCCCATCCTAGCTTTGATTTCCACAGCTTTTGGAGCAGGATTTTGGATTTCATTGTGGTTGGTCCCATTATCCCTAGTGGATCGAATATTTGAGCCAGTATTTGATGACCCTGATGCAGGGAACGAAAAAACCCTCCATAAATATGGTGGTACTCGGTGTTATCGACATCGAGTCAAACCTGAGAGATATAATTGCAAGCGCTGAGGCGAACCTGCGACAGACAGTTTTGGCATGGTGGTCCGAAAACGCGGTATACTTCCCCAATGTTTCAAAACTCGCGCGCATCATTCTCGCCATTCCGGCCACCTCAGCTGAGCCCGAAAGAAGATTCTCTGCGGCTGGGAACTTGTTGCGTGAGAAGCGTTCATCCATGGATCCGATTACAATGTCCAAAACACTGTTTATCCATGACAAAAAGAGTTTTTACCACCCATATGAGGCTCTCGACAATTCTTTAAGACAGATATGTATTCTCGAAGTTTCCTTGGAGAATAAATTGTGATGTTCTCCTTCATGCCATGTGTCGTTCCCTCCTCGCTTCTAGCTAAGGCAAGAGGCGATTCGAGAAAAAGGGAAAATGTGTATAAAAATATAAGTGGCTTCCCGTAACGCGTATCAACTATCACGCCGCCGCGAATTGTATTCCGCGCCGTGAAACGCCGCTGCGAACGATTCCCCCCGCCGCCGCCGCTGTCGGATTCGATGTTGGCGCACAGCTCTGGTACGACGTCAACAGCAGCGTCGGCGACATCCGTGGCGAGTTCGACGAGGGCGAGGTCGACCACGACGAGGAGGAACCTGAGGTGGTCAAGGTCGCAGCCGCCCATCGAGGAACCGGCCCAAAAGGTCGACCGCGGGATCGAAGAGGCATGGGAGGAACGTTGACGAGTGGAGCAGCAACGGTGTGTCGACTGCTGGGGGTTCACCCATCGGCAAGGTGCCCCGGCATGCCCAGCCCGGGCAAATGAATGTTTCTCTTGTCACGAGTTCGGACACTTCGCTCGATGCTGCGCAGCGAAAATCGACAGCGTCAAGTGTTATCGTTGTGGGAAGTACATGGCTTTCACTACCAGATCTGCCATAGACCCAACGCTCACACGCCTGACGAAAACTGCCGCTGCAAGCTCTGTGGAGGGGAGTGCTCGGAATACCACTTCTACAGTTGCGAACGTCAGAGAGATCTCAAATGGAATGACGAGTGATAAAAATATGTACATATACTAAATCCTATACACCATTTAAATGGTAAATAAAAGCTTATTTGGAGTTGTGGGAAGTGGGGACACTTCCAGAGAGATTGTGTACAGCATCATGTGATGCTACGAAGTCTGAAGAGATCGAGCGATCTTTACCCAATTCTTGTCAGCCTCGCTGATGAAACTCGGTTGGCTCTTCCATGGAGACACTGCCGAGGAAGGGTAGTCGGCATCCCACTCCTTGTGCGCGTCCAGCTCATGGTTCTATAGCCGTCGAGACTTGAGAAATGAGAAAACTCGGCGAGTAGCAGGAAGGTGTCCACGGTGGAGGACATCGAATTCATGTGGAATTCAGAACTTTTCGAGATAAAAACAAAAGAAGCGATCGGCGAGGAAACGAGTTAGCTAGACGCGGAACTAGAACAGTTTTTTCGTTGCTCAGTCAAGAGACTCATGAAGGGCGACTTTTCATGAGCCTTCCCGTCGAAGACAACCTCGAGACGATCGGAGATAACGGATCACCCACCAGGGGAAGACCTACCGCCTGAGGAAGGCAGAAGGAGCCTATCGAAGGATCCGGAAACGCTGGAGACAAACGACTATGTATCGCGAGCTATTTCGAGATTGTATGCGTGGCATCAGCAGCGCCGAGGGGACTCGGCGAACCCGCTTATTCTCTTCCCACGCGAAATTTAACCGTCCCCGGGCCCCGGACTGCCCATCTGGAGAAAAGACTCGCATGGTTGAAGACGCTGGTGCGATATCGACGGACAGAGTCTCCTTGAAGGACGTACTTTACCACGGATCAAACCTTCTGCCGGACATATAATTCAAGTTATATTACGTCTCAGACGCCATATACGTAGTCACAGCCGATATCGAGAAGGAATCTCTATAGTTCGAAATACATCAAAAACATCGAATCTTCTTGCGGTTCCTCTGGCCTCTCTGTATTTCTCCAGGTCAATCAGCCTCTAGGCAAGAATATGGGGGGCAGTTTCCCGGGGAGCGCCGGAGGAAGGATCCCTTCGGAATATTCCAAGCGGGTAAAGGTCGTCCCAGGGAATGGCTCACCAAGTCCGAGGCATTTGCGGAGGTATTCGAAGAGACAGTGACATTTCCAGACGTGAGTACGAATTTAGACAGCAGCGGAGCCAAATAACTTGCCATAAAAGGGGATCAATAGGAGGACACAGGACACAATCGGCTTCTTCATATCGAAGGCATTACGAGAGTCAAGGAGTGGGTCTCTAATGATTGGACATTTCCGAGGTATGACGCTCGGGTCCTTGACCCTTCAGGAGCCTTCGGCTTTCTCTTGCCAGCCACGGTATCGGCGGACATTGTTCTTCATAGACTATTTGCGCAGAAGGCACACTCTATATCTTTTAAACAGGGCTGCCAGAACTCTAGATTGGAGTCACCACATTTGGCTCGAGCTCAAGGCTTCCCTTCGAAATCGCGGCGCGTGTTTCGATGCGGAGTGTTAGGTACTGAGAATCTTCCTCTCTGTTGCGCCGAGAAGGGCGAGTCGATAGGATAGGTTCCGTTGAAGACGACGTTGGACGTAGAAACGTTGTTCTAGACACGGTTCAAGTGAGACTCAATATTCCTCACAGGCATGTCAGAGGAAACGCTCTTGATGATGGTCCGGGTGCCACGCCGACTCTGGTGGATGTGACATTCGAGTAATCTTGTCTTGAGATTCTGCGGTCGAATCGACAGAGGATACTTCCCGTCGGTAGAAGTGAGCGGAGGACTCCGCGCGCTCCCGGGTGGGAGAGAGGGAAAGAGCGTGATTCGCTGTGAGGTGATTTTCGAGTCGATACTCATAGACTTCTGGCGGATGGCGCGTCGACCCCCTACGAACTCACAACAATGACTGTAGAACGATACCTCGACGACCTCACTGTTGGACCCGTCTTTTGCACACCTAACTTGAGCCATCGTCACCGTCGTTGTTGTAGTATGCGAATTCGTTGCGCTTGTCAAGGTAGCTGTAGGCTTTCGAAGAGAAGGGGGATTCCATTTCGCGGTGTTTGAAAGCGTGCCACACGTCTGCTCGAAAACTCGGACCCGCAGCGCAGTCTGAGTATGATGAGGACCCTCTGGAGAGCGGGAAGTGGGTTTCTCCAGCGAAACGCATCTTCTATTCACCAGCGTTCGTTGAGCATCGTGGAGGATACCTGAGGACCAGAGACAAGGAGTCGTAGGAATGGATTCCGATTCAGGCCCGTGACCTTGTTGTGGGCATCCTGTAGTGCCTAAATAATCGTCATCCGACGGGATCGGCAAGGTGCAGGGCGCGTGTGGTGACTTGCACGCTGTATAGGCCAAGTTAGCCACTATATGAGGAGCTGTGTGCGGTACGAAGGGCCGAGAAGGCCGGGACCATCCCCACCGGGCACGGAGGAGGCATCACAGGCGTCGGAGGACTCGCCGCGTGTTCAGGCGTCCTCAGGCCCGGCAGGAAGGGCAGAGGTGGTCGCTGCTCTCCGAGCAATCATGGAGGCAGAGGAGGCAGGCGTTGGAGTCAACGTCCAAGTTAACCTGCAGGTTCAGGCGGAACCGCAAGGCCCGGCTCCCCTCAGGCGGATGCCATTGACGAATCCGGAGCGATGGCAGTGTCCGATCTGCATGGACGGAGTGACCAATGCAGTGGTCACTACATGTGGCCATCTGATGTGTTGGCCGTGCCTCTATCGTTGGACGGTGGTCATTCCCCGGGGCATTTGCTGCCCAATGTGTCGCTCGGTGATCGAACCGACGGGCTCCGTCCCGATCTCCGGAACTGAAGAGGAGGTGGAGCTACCGCCAGGCTTCCCCAGGCGACCGGAGGGTCTTCATATCCCGTTCGAAGAACCCTCAGCACGGACCAAAGAAAAGAAAAATGGGATAAAAATATTCATGTAAGATGTATCGAGCGAGTGCAATCCTTGCATAGCTAGGTAGGTCTATCGCCGTGGTAGGTAAGACCATATAGAGCTCTAGGCACTCGGGCATTTAAGCACCCAGCAGTGGTCGAGTTTCAGAAGCAGAGATATCATGTAGGCACGTTAGATCAGGGTGCACGGGAGGCGTAGCGAACGTGCACATAGACAGAGTCTTGTTCTGGCTGGCGTAGGCGCCGGTCGTGCTGGTGGGCTCCTTGATCGGTCGAGACCCAGGCAGTAGGCTGCCAAGTGAATAAACTAGAGAGTGGACCAGAACGACTTTTCCCTTTTCCGAGTATCTCCAAGGCACCCCCCGGACCGTTACACAAATCGGCCACGCTTCCATCTTCAAAACAGTCCGACTCAGCGAAACATTGTATGTCTTCATCGATAGTCATGTACGTTTGTAAATTCTCCACTGAGACCAGAGCCGAACCGACGCCGACGGGTGGTCGAGTGGTTAGCGCGTTTGTCACTTCTCGTGCAAACGTGCATAGCCGCAACGACGCTTTCCCGCTTTCCCGTTTCTCCACTTTCCCGTTTCCCCGCTTTTATTCCATATTATGTTCTCCGGAAAATCTTCACCCTTCACGGCTACAGTAACTTTCAGCGAGATTCATTAGTAGAAAGACAGAGGCCGATGATGACGGCAACCCCCGATAGCCTTCTCTGGAGCTCCCGAAAATCCACCCCCTCATGGTGATCGGTCCGCCGATAAGAAATCCTGCGAATTCCCGTCTTTCCCTTGAGAGGACCACTCAAATATTTTTTTATGGTAGGAGGACCCATCACATGAGAACGACGTCCCTCATATGACCCTCCCGCGAACCCACCCCTGAATTTTCGCGGCGATTGGTTCAGACGTTTGTGATTTTTGCGTGTTTCCGATTTTTCTTTTTTTTTCGTATTTTCGTGGGTCGAGCACTCAAATTTTTTTTTCAAGGTAGAAGGACTCATCGCACCGGAGAACTGACCCCCCAGTGCACAGTGTCAGTGTCTGACAAAGCAGTAGGCTCACCATCTGTTGGTGGCTCTTCGATAATAATATCTGTGGCGCACTGTCCTAGACGATCACTAAATGAAGACGCTGAAGTAATAAAGAAGAGAATTCCGGAAGTGGGCGCACTATGCGTATAATGTCCGTCGAGCAAACTAGCGGGTCTGATCCCAGGCCTAGCCGCTAACTTCACTACACTGGGGATTTGAACCCCTTGGGTTGAATGACTCTGAGATTAGGATGCAGGCGATCTGTGGATCGCCGCTCTCGATCTCTGACAGATTGTGTGTGTGTGTGTTGACGGCTCGATGTTTCCGCCGGCCGGTTGCTTGACTGTTGACGGTGGCGCCGTGAGCGGGAGAAACCGGTATGATCGATCCGCGCTGCGCCGAGTGTGTGTTTGCTATCTGAGTGCGCCCGACTTCCTAGGGGTTTATTCTTATCTCTCCTGGAGATATAATCGAGATTGATAATGATTATGCTGTACACTGATTAATAGGACATGAATTAATATGGATCCTTGATCCGAAGTTCCCCAATAAGTCTCTCTGGTCTCTCTGAGGAAATAGTCGAATGGATCATGGGAAACTAGAATCTGTTGGGAAGGATAGTGTGCTGTGAGTGTAGTGCATGCGCAATGGACCTAGTCCGTTCGTCACAATATCGTTTTCATTATCATCTGGTATGGATTTTCGCGCGCTAGGACGTGGCTCATGAGTGAGGCCGACCCCTGTCTCTTCTTAAGCGAAGCAGGAAAAGAGAAGCTTTTGATTGCGATCTACGTAGATGATGGCCTGCTGGCAGCTTCTGAAGAGAGCACTCTCAACGCTTGTCTCGAAGGTTTGAAACTTCAGTTCAAGATCACCTCGAAGGATGCGACGTACTTTCTCTGAATCGACATCAAGAGATCGCCAGAGGGCATCAAGATCAGTCAGGCACTGCAAGCTCGGAAGATACTCGAGAAGTTCAATTTCAGTCAGTGCAAGTCAGTGACTACTCCGATGACTCGTGAGTCAGGGAAAGTAAGCGAAGAAGAGGATGGATCATCGAATGGTGAAGCTGATAATCCAGAGTTATTCCCGTATAGACGAGCTGTTGAAGCAATCATGTATTTGATGCTCGGTTCAAGACCAGACTTGGCATTCAGCATTGGGGTCTTGTCGAGGTCGCTCGGGAATCCTTCGAAAGAAAATATAGTGATGCCAAAGTGGGTTCTCCGATATATTCCCGGAACGATCAATTTCGGAATCACGTATGTCAGATCAGGAGTTTCCGCGACGTTAGAGGGATACAGTGACCCTGACTATGGAGGTTGTTACCAGACTGGTCGATCTACGTCGGGAGTTGTTGCGATGTATGCCAGCGGAGCGATCTCCTGGTTCAGTCAAAGACAGACGTCAGTGGCGACTTCCACTACGGAGGCGGAGATCATTGCCGCAAGTGAGGCAGCGAAAGAAATGGTCTGGCTCAAAAGGTTGTTCAGAGAAATCGCTTCGTACGACGGAATACCCACGATTTTTGTGGCCAATTCCGCAGCGGTAAAGTTGTTTGTCAACCCGGAATTCCATCGACGAACGAAGCATATCTCTGTCCGGCACTTTTTCGTCAGGGATAAGGTGACCGAAAATGAGTTGAGGGTACAACAGATCGCGACTGAAAAGCAAGTCGCGGATATTCTGACCAAACCCTTGCAGAGGATCCGGCACAAGTTTCTGTGTCAGCTCATGGGGATGTCTTAGGTTTCTCTTATAGATCGACGAGGGAAAGTGTTGAAGTCGGTTCGTCGATCTATACTCTAACGACGAAGCATAAGGCTATCCTCGGAGTATAAAAATAAAATCTTAAGTGTGTTTCAATCACTTGGAAAAACGAAGCTGAACTGTTAGCTCTCTCTAAAACTTCAACTTTTACTCGTTCGTAATCGGGGGAAGTAGGACTAAGTTTACCGTGGGTGCATGTCCACGCTTTAGGCTCGGTTTGCAGAAGTTCAGGTATGATCGTTTTCCATGCCAAGAAGTTTCGACCATCTTGGGCCAGAATGACACTGCTGAGTCGACTAAAGTTCGAACGGGGTGCCGAACCAGACGAGCTCGTAGAAGTCTCAGGCTTGCTTTTATCGTCTGTAGCAGCCATATCAGCAAGAGACTGACGAGACGGGACTACAAAGAAGTCGTCACTCTCGATTTCTGCCAGCGTCCTCGGAGCAAACTATTTGCACCGCCGACGAGACGACATCTGGTAAGCTACCGTTAGAATCGTTACAGAGAGAGGGAAGAGTCCGGAACCGAAGTCGGCATCGAGACAGATCTTCTATCGAACATTTTGCTTACTAGGAATCAGGGTAGCTTTTCTATCCTCAACCTTTTCACATCCTTATCTGTAAAAAGGGTGTCAGGCACGAGCCATCCGGAGATTGTAGATGCCAACTTTGTGACGATCTCTGCCCTCAGTATCATGTATATAGCTGTAAAAATGCGCACAATTTTTCAAAGGGAACACAAGGCCCGACCTTTCTTGAAACCCTGTGATACAACTAACCGGTCAATAAACGGTGGATAAACAACGTACTTGAGGCCTTAAGGCGAACGGGAATGAGTGTCCGATTGAGCAAGTGCAAATTTTTCGTGAACTCAGAACAATTCCTCGGATTCAATATATCGAGGGAAGGGATAAGACCAGGAACGGAGGAATTATTGGTGGTCGAGCAGTTTCCGAGACCAGGGAATGTACATGAAGTACGACGATTCCTGGATTTGACGAGTTTCTTCCGACGATTCGTCGTGCATTATGCGACAATCGCGAATCCGCTTACGATGCTTCTGAGGAAAGAGGTTCCCTTCGAGTGGTCGAGTGCGTGCGAGGAAGCGTTCGAGAAGCTGAAGCGGAATCTGGCACAAGAGCCAACTCTGGATAGATTCGACCAGAAGCGAGAGACCGAGTTACATACGGACGCGAGTACAGTAGGATTGGGAGCGATTCTGATACAACGACTGGAAAAGAGACCGAAATTCGTATACGCCATCAGTCGAAAACTAGCGCAATCCGAGCAACGATATCATTCCACGAAGCTGGAACAATTAGCGGTCGTATGCGCACTCGAGCGTTTTCGTCACTACCTACACGGTATGGACTTTGTCGTGGTATCCGGTTGTAGCATAGCTTGTTGTGTATTTTAGGATTGAAGGCTCAGAGTGGATCGACGCAGCCGTGTCGATGGTGGGACTGAATCGCCGAGTTCGACTTCACGGTAAAACTCCGTCTGGGAGTGAATATGGCTCACGTCGATGCGCTCAGTTGAGGACCGTTCGAGTTACCGAGAGAAGAGTCGGATGACGAGGAGAGGCCGACGGACTCGTCAACGATAGATGTGGTGCTGGTGGTCTCGATGAACTACAACGAGGCGGCGACGATGCCAGCAATCGACGAAGAAATAGAGGAGAGGAAAATAGCGCTCATGAAGCCGGAAAACGCGAGATCGATCCGAGAGAAGTCATTGGTACGGAACTTCGAGTTAGTAGATGGCATGCTATTGAAAGTGATGAAGGATCGAGTAAACGCTGAGAAGCAGGAACTGATCAAAACGTGGAAGGCGTTCGTCGTGCCGCGAGTATTGCGAAAATATGTTGTGGTCGAGTGCCACGATAGGATGGGTCATTTTGGACTGAGGGAGACGTGGGAAACAATGAGACGGTACTACAGGTTCGAGGGAATGAAGGACTACTTGAAGTATCATCTGAGAGCGTGTTTGAACTGCATGTTCAACGGAAATCTGTCGGGCAGGAAGGAAGGGTTATGCAATCCGATCAGACCCGAGAGACGCCCATTCCAGGAAGTCTTCATGGACCATATGGAACCGTTGCCGGCATCGAGAGGAAAACAACATGTGATCGTTATGATCGATGGGTTGACCGAATTCGTCGTCTTAGAAGCAGTGAAGACGACGGAAACGAGATATGTCATCACTCATCACGTTCCTCGAGACAACGTTTCTGAACTATGGGGATCCCGAGCGATTGGTATCCGATAGAGGTACAGCATTCACATCAGCGGCATTCGAGAATTTCTTGATCAAAGAGGGAGTCGAGCATACTTTGATTTCGACACAGTGTCCGCAATCGAATGGATTGACTGAACGAACAAGCAAAGAGGTAGCGAGATTGTTACGAGCTTTGACGGAGAAGGTAGATAAATCAGACTGGGCGGAGAATATCCCGATCGCGCAGGCGATGCTCAACCGAACAGTGGCACGAGGGACGGGCAAGGCCCGTTTCGAAGCGTTGCATGGATATTTACCGAGACTCGATAATTTTTCGCAAGTGGTTGGAAATAGGCAAGAAACCGTTTGGAGACCGGCAGAAGAAGTGAGGGACGAGATTCGACAGCGGATCGAGAAGAGCCAGAAACGTGAGAAATTACGACAAGAAGTTGGAACCGCACAAGATCCGTTATAAATGGGAGACATTGTATTAGTTTCGAGATTGCCAGTCCAAACAGAACAGCCGACAAAATTTCTACCGAAGTTTCGAGGACCATTGACTGGAGTCGGGATGTTGCCAAAAAATTCGTATCGATTGGTCCAACTGGGAAAAGATAAGATTACATTGGTATAATGTCCGTGGGTTAGAGGAGGGCAAGATAGTTCCATTGGATGACAAACCCCTTGGAGCTCCAGACATTAACTAAGAGGAACCGAGTACTTCAGGAAATAATATTCGAAAGCCGAATGTGGAGGTCAAAATGATGTCGGTAGGAGGCGAGAACGACGGCGACATCGACGAGATGTCGATGATGTTGGAGGAATTCGGTTGCGACGAGCTAAAGGAAACAACGAAATTTAAGCGCACCGGCAATGTCGACTTGAATTCGGCGATTCTCGGGTCACCAACGAGAGGGTCGGAAGAAGGGGAAGAAAGGGTCGAGACGAGCGGAAGGAGGAATCCTGTTCGGGCGGCGAAATTCGAAGGCAGATACGGAAAGTAGATTCAGAGGATAATTAATGTTTGATTCAGAGGATAATTAGTCTTTGGTTAACAATGGTCAGGGAAGTAGATACCGTAAATCTTCTTTTAGAAGCCCTGTTACTTATAGCACCCCCTCCTCAATACAAGCCCCCCCCTCGGAGAGGTTCGTAAATATAGAAGACCCTCTCCAATAGAAGCCCATCTCTCTAATAGTAGGCCCCCTTCCGTCCGTGATCGCACGTAAGCGTGATATTCCGGAAGATTTTCCCCTCATCGTGGAGAGCCGAGAGAGCACCGACGCGTCGGCGGACGACGGCGACGTCACCCGAGTCGGAACGTCAATCTGTGCACAACGATTACGGGAGACTCTCGTTCCACACTGTTGTGTGTCTGAACACGCAAACGTCGCTTCTCAGACGAATAACTTCGTTTAGTATCTCATGCGGTAACCGTAGCGCTCGGCTAAGGCTCAGGCGAGCTGTGCATCTCGAAGAAAGGACGAGATTTCTCTCCTATCTCAAAGCATCGGCAGTTCTCCATTACTCGATCGTCAGGGTTCCGCGGTTCGAGTAATTATAAGCCCCCTCCTATAGAAGCCCCTCTCTAATACAAGCCCCTCTGAGAAGGCACTCGGAAAAAATAGAAGCCCGGTCTTCTAATAGAAGATTTACGGTAGTTGAGTACACGTAGGTATTATAGCGCCAAAATGATGAGGACATCATATAGTGTAGCGTGGTCGAATCGTCGGGTCAAGAGGTTCGCTAGAGTATCGAGCAGTTTTGAGCGACTAGTCGAATCGAGAGTTTCGTGAAAGTATCGATCAGTTCAGAGTGACTAGTCGAATCGAGAGTTTCATGGAAGCAGCGAGCAGTTCTGAGTAATCGAGCGGATCAAGAGTTTTGTGACGGTCTCGAGCGTTTTACGGAGCCACAAATCCGGAAATATGGAAGATCGAAGACAACAACGAGAGCCGCGAGGGACTCTTGAAGAAGATCGTGGACACCCTCGGATGTACGCGCCCATGAATATGTGGCTCAACTTGGCAACGGCGGCGACCGCGTTTGGGTCAGCCATACACGTACTCGTACGAGATGCAAAAGCAAGAATCTCAGAAACGTGCGAACCGGCGTCAGCGAGGTGAATCGAGTTGTTCAGTCGAGTTCCGAGACGAAGTCAAGCTGTACGAATACTACGACAGCGACGACGCTGAAGAGCTACCGTTTGAGAGTATATATGATCTGAACGTGAGCGAGTCTCGACCACGGCTTGGAGGGAGAAGTCGACACCGCCAGAAGAAATGGTGGCACATGGAGATCCCCGACGAGGACAAATGAGAGCACGGCGAAAAATCACCGGAATCTCAACAGTGCCTCGAGGAGGGGCCCGCGGACGGCGTCGCCCAAGAATTGGAAGTTACCGAGTGGCCCGTCATCGACGATGGCGATGAGGAAATCGAAATGAATCCGGAGCGACCGCTTCTTGAAGTTCAAGAACCGAATCAACACGATATCGAGCGTGGCGAGCGCATCGGAAAAGAGCTTCAAGAAGCGCGGGATGAACGCAAACGAGTTGAACAACAACGGTGTGTCGACTGCTGGGGGTTCCCCCATCGGCGAGGTGACCCGGCATGTCCAGTCCGGCCAAATGAATGCTTCTATTGTCACGAGTTCGGACTCTTCGCTTGCTGCTGTGCAGCGAAGATCGTTAGTGTCAAAAATGTTATCGTTGTGGGAACTAGGGTATACTCCCAGAGAGATTGAGTACAGCATCATGTGATGTAACGAAGTTAAGAGTGATCGAGTCCGGAATCATATCTCATATGATAATAATAAATAATTACGTAATCAGGTAACGAGAATAGCATGTACTCAACAGCTAAGTAAGCGAGGTATTTAATGAGGGCATTTAGTATCGTAGCAGTGGACGAACTGTAGGGAACGTCGGAACATGCCTTTAACGTAGCGAAGCGAGATAACGTGCATGTGTTAGGAGAAGACAGTACTTGAAGGGCCAGCGTCCGAGCAAGACGCGTGTGCCCGAGAATAAACCAGTACCCGGGAATTGAGACCGTATCCGAGTAGTAATCCACAGGGAAAACCCCTACACGTACAAATGGGCGGAAACAAACGATTGGATTTCGAAACGCTAGATGGGGCAAACTCAGACAACGTCCTGAAACTTATACATCGCTCCTACATATCTCAGCGCGCAGTTGAGTTTCATGCCCTCAGAGCATCGGGTCGCGAGAACTTAGCCATGATCACGATCGGCGGCGAGGTCTCAGAATACAAGGCTTACGATGTATATAATTTACGTCTTCAGAGCAGATCCGGTGACCTGGATACAGTCACTCTGACTCTAGTCGGTGTCCCGGAAATAGCGAGAGGGGAATTACAAGTTCTGAGGGAATCTTTCGGACTAAAATCATTGGCGGACGACGCCACCGGCCCATCGGGATTAGAGGTGGACATTCTTATCGGCCAGGATTTCCTGGCACGGGTCTCGCGCGGTGAGGAACGTATCTTTGAGGATCGCATCGTAGCGACCAGCACCATATTTGGTTGGGTGCCGGCGGGCAAGGGAACGTGCGGTAGGAGCGGATTAGCAGATACTTCAGCATTTCTGACCTCCAACCTGTACCGGCCGGGAACGTTCGTCGGCTCGGGAGTCGTGAACTTGACATCGCTGGTCGCGAAGCAAACTGTCTCGATTCAAGCCCAACCGTCCATCGGTCCAGAGATGATAGAAGCTGTCGCGTCTCGAAGCGCGAGTCGTACGTACTATACCAATTACCCATACCGGAACACCTTTCTGTTCAATAAATGATAGAGAGAAGTCGTCAGCTCTTCGTTCGCTCGCGGTGATCGCAGCCAGAATGTGGACGGCAGCACGTCCGATGGCAGCCCTCTCAGCCAGCCGCGGTCGAGCTCCGCCATCTTATCAGTAGCGTGCGCGAGACTCCGAAGGGATCGTCAGTCCTTCCGGGTTTCCGTCGAATTTTGCCTGATCCGCGAGCGATCGACCGAGAGACGAACTCATTAATAGCATCGTCAGTGTTTTCTGTCTTCCGGTCGCCCCGACTCGTGACAGAAGCGTTGGATAGATTTCCGAACGAAACGGGACCCCTTCGGAAAGGCATACAAGATCTATATATATAAAAACGTATGTCTGTTTGTCTGTTTGTTTGTCTGTCTGGTGTCACCTATACATAGACTCGAAAACGGCTGAACCGATCGTCGTGAAAATTTAGGAGCGTGTTCTGGGCGATCCCCCGGTGGTTATAGGGGGGTCAGTTCTTCGATGCGATGAGTCCTTCTACCTTAAAAAAATTATTTGAGTGTTTTACCCACGAAAATCCGAAATCTCGGAAAAAAATTGAAAAATCCGAAATTCGCAAAATTCACAAACGCCTGAACCGATCGCCGTGAAAATTCAGGGGTGGGTTCCCGGGAGCCTCAGGAAGGTCTTCTGAGGGTCGTCGTTCTCATGTGATGGGTCCCCCCACCCCCCAACCTGAAGAAATTTTTTGAGTGGTCTTCTCACCGCGAATCGAAGATTTCATAAAGGGAAAGACGGGGATTTGCAGGATTTTTTATCGGCTGGACCACCATGAGGGGGCGGATTCTCGGGAGCTCCTAAGAAGGCTATCGGGGGTTGCCGTCATCATTGGCTTCTGTTCTTCTACTAATGAATCTCGCTGAAAATTGCTGTGGCCGTGAAGGGTATAGATTTTCCGAAGAACATATGGAATAAAAGCGGGGGTACGGGAAAGTGGGGAAGCGGGAAAGCGGGGAAACGGGAAAGTGGGGAAACGGGAAAGTGGGAAACGGGAAAATGGGGAAACGGGAAAGCGGAAAAACGGGAAAGCGGGGAAACGGGAAAGAGGGGAAACGGGAAAGCGGGGAAACGGGAAACGGGAAAACGGGAAAGTGGGGAAACGGGAAAATGGGGGAAACG